TAAATTTGGGCTTTCCATTTGAAGAAAATAGAGTTTTTATTTTCGTTATCGTTATTATTTTCATTATCGTTATTATTTTTGTTATTATTATAATTATAAAAATTAATCATACACTAATCAATTAGTAACGGTGAGTATAAAATATGAAATATAATGATAGGAGTCGGAAGATCGGAAGATCACGTGACTGCGCCCTCGATTTGTGGTTATGCTGGGACTTTCCGATTGTTGGAGTTTAGAATATATAGCTGCAGCTGCTGTGTTCATCATGTGACCAGAAAAGTTAAATGTGACAGAAGAAATCAAAACCCATATAAATACCCGCATTTATCAAAGCGTTCCAGATATTTATCAGTCTATTAAAGATCAGCAATTAGATGGGTATGAGCTTTTAACTATAAAACAGGTATATTACTGGTAGACGTTAATGCCACAAGGAGAATATTGATATGATAATGATGAACTTGCTTCCGTGAAAAAATTTCTTCAAGTGCAAAATCAAGAACTTCTTTTTTTTGAAAACCACGCCTTTGCCTTTGTAACATCATTTATAGATATATTACCATCAACTTTATTAGTAGAATTAATGGTTGATGCAACTTTTAATACAAACATATTAAAGTATGAATTATACGGAGCTATAGCGATTATAGATGGTGCAAGATTCCCCATCTCATATTTATTTGTATCAGCTGGCAAAAATCATAACCTTACTTATATTATTTCTACATAGTTCACAGCATTAAAAATACAACAATTAACAAATATACGTATATTTTATACTGATAAGGATCTTTCTCAAATTAATACTGCTAGATCTGTATGGCCAAATGTCAATATACAATTATGCATGTGGCATGTTAATCGTGCAGTGGAACAAAAACTATCATCACACACAAAACTGCAAATTAATATAATTGATATTTTATAGCAACCGGTTTTGCTTGATCAAACAAATACAAATAAAAAAAATCAGGTTTTCAACTAGCTGATAAAGAAACCCATGCAGAAATTAAAGATCTTATAATAAAGCATTTTAATCGACATATGCTTTTACCAAAAGAGGATAAGACTTTTGTAACAGATCCATAACAAATATGGACCGAATGTGTTAGTGAGATGTATCAATATTGCCATAATAAAAATCTTATTTTTATATGGTCTTATATGTGGTGTGAATGGTATTCTCCAAAGCAGTGGACTCTTTGGGCCAGATCATCATTTGAAGAAATTAGTACTTTACATACAACTATGGCGATTGAATCTCACTGGTGACTTTTAAAATGTGATCATCTTTACAAGTTTAATCGACCCCGTTTAGATCTTTTGTGCTTATGTAATTATAAAAAGGCAAGTACAAATGTAGTGTATATTTATATATATATATATTTATAAATTAATTTTTTTTCTAACTTAATTTTTTTTAAGGTTATTGCAAGGCAAATTGAAATGTTCAAGCTGCTATGTTATGAACGCCAACTTACCTCATAGCGAAAAGAATTTTAGAAAGAATGGAATTCACTAGCATCCCATTCATATAAATTTAATGCATATTTAACTGATTATGAAAAATGGATTTGTTCATATCCATATTTTATAAATATTGGATTTTTTCTATGTAAGCATTTAGATATTCCAGTCGGCCCAAAGCTACCCTCATTCTTTTATAACGTATGTATATTCTAAATTGTAAGTGTATGTATTATAATATAAATTTATAGCAACTAATTACAATTTATTAATTTAGATTCGTCGCAATTCAATATACCCTTTAATTGCAATATCATCAAGCAATCCTTGGCTAAAAATACGTTTAATTTGTGATTCTATAGACCTCAAAAATAATGAATGTTTATCAAATGATTCTACTGAAATATTCAATAATGATGAAATATATGAAATAAATCAAGATGAAATGCTTGAAATAGACGAGAGCATTAGAGAAACTGAGCAAAAGCATGCACAATTGTCACAAGTTTTAAATGAGGTTTTTTTTTTTTTTTTTTTTTTTTTTTTTAATATTAAATTTTTAATTGCCATTTTATATTTAGACAT